TTTTCCCTGTATTGGGGACACTTGAGACTGAAGACAAGCCTGATTTATAGTTGCATGGACACTGCTTGGCTATTATACTTTGTATTGGGGACACTTGAGACTGAAGTCAAGCCTAATTTGTAGTTGCATGGACACTGCTTGGCTATTATACTTTGCATTGGATTGCAAGCATCGCGAGCCGGACTGGACTGTTTGCATTTGAGCTTTTCTTGGATGTTAACTAGATCTATGTTGTAAAATCTCACCTAACTTATGCCTTCTAATCTATTATATATTAGTATGCATAATCATCATTTATGTCTGAGTTTGAGTTTTGTGTTTTTGGCACATCAGCACAATTTAGACCATGTCTTGCCCATAATCCTTCAAGAATTTGTTTCATATTTTATCATAGACTAATTAAACCTTTAATATTGACACTCTCGTTGTTAACTAATACACGTCATTACTTATTGACACTCTCGTTGTCATTACTTTTTAACACTCTCGTAGTTACTAATATATGTCATTACTTATTGACACTCCCGTTGTTTACTACTATACGTTAACATATTGCCATTATTAATCTGTTAAAATTACTTAATATATTAACTTATTAAATGTCAGGGGTGCCTGAGAGATGAACTCCAAATTGTAGTCCTCCCGTAGAGCCTTGGTGCCATACTCTGCTGATACGCGTAGTGTCTTATAGTTCACACACAGGTCACAGGTCAAGAGACTCTGCAGACAAACTTTCCCGCCACATCAATATTTGACCGGAACTAGGCAAAAGTCAGATATGCCCGTGCAGACGAGCCAAGGCTAAAAATTACAACCACGGAAGCGGGCAGCTTTTATATTTAAGTTGCCAGCTTCTTTGCTCATAATCACTGAAGCTTCTCTATTTAGTGTATTTATATTGTTTACTTGTCATATTGAAACAGTTAGATTGACATAGAGTTACAAAAAATATGTGTAGACACTATATTAAATATCACTATTTGCTACGTTTAGTTTTTCCTTTACCACATGTTTGGCGCTATACATCAAATTATAGACACACACATGCAGATACAAACATATACGTGCAATTATTACCACACACATGCCACTTTGTAAATCAAAAAGTATCTACCGAGTCCATGTCAGAAGGCAAGGTGGCTGAGCGGTTAAGTACTTGGATTCCCAACCTTGGGTCCTGGGTTCGAATCTCAATGAAGACTGGTATTTTGAATTTCCAAACTCCGATGGGTACGGGTCGTTATGCTGGCCACAAGACTCCCTGCTCGCTAACTGTTAACCAAAGAAACAGATGACCTTTTTAACATCATCTGCACTTTACATTTTGTTATCGTAAAAAAAAAATGATTTGCCCAATTTTAGATCTAAATCTATACAACATCAATACTAACCTAAATTTGTTTTACAGTTCACTATTGTACTATTCTATATTAGGATACAACGTATTTAATAAAATAATACATTAAAGAAATAACTTTGAAATATAATAATAATAATTGTATTTATAAAGTGCTGTTAACCAACAAAATGTAGTCTCTAGGCGATTTAATAACACATCAAACACAAACACGACAATTCCTATAACAAATAGATAGTTCTAAATGTTCTACTTAAAAGTGGTGTAGCATGTTGCCTGTCTGAGATCATTGGGAAGTGAGTTCCAAACCTTTGCGCCGTGCACTAAAAAAAGTCTCGCAGACCGTATCTTTTTAGGAAGAAATATGACCAGACTAGAAGTCTAGACTAGAGTCCATTGAGCGCAGGGCTCTCTGAGAACATATGGAGTAATCAGTTCGCTAAGGTACAAGGGCATCTCATTGTTGTATATACACTGTTGACAAAGTGTGGCGACCTTTTAATCAATTCTCGCTTTCATGGGAAGCCAATGGAGCGAGCGCAAGAGCATAGTAGCAGAAGCTCGTGTTTTTTAGAGAACTCTGTGTTTGTACTGACATCTTCGTGATTTTTTTTATCTTCCACTTCCAGAAATGACGTACAAAACTAAGAGTACTTTGTAGACCTTGTTGTAACTCATGTTTCACTTTTTTTTCTCGTACATTTCCAAACATTAGCTGTGAACGTTTGTTGTTACAGTTTTGATCTGAGCTCAGCCCTTTCCTTTCCCACCATACCGCCAAGCCTTGATATGTCCTAAAGAGTTGTCCACACTTGCTGTCGAGGTTTGGGATTTAGTTGTCAATCAAACGATAGTAATTTTTATGTTTATCACTGGAAAAGTGTCGGCGGAATTTGACTAACATTACGTTCAGGATTTAGAATAATATAATTTTTTTGATACCGAAAAAAATCTACCAAACTCTAGTGTCTATTTATAATTTAGAAGTAATATTTGGAATTTCCGATTTCTTATTAAGTCTATATTTAACCCAAAAAATTCTTTATTTATAATGTCACAAAACATATGTGTATACACTATGTTAAATATCACTATTTGATAAGTTTAATTTTCCATATACCACATGATTGACGCTATACATTGAATTATAAACTCACATATGCAGATACAAACAAATACGTGCAATTGTAACCACACACATGCCCATCGTGTAAATCAAAAGCGATTAGGTGCTTTACTTTCGAACCTTTGGTCATGGGTTTGAATCTCAATGAAGACTGGTATTTTTAATTTAAAAACTCCAATGGGTACGGATCTTTATGCTGGCCACAAGACTGTTGCTCCTTAACTGTTGGTAAAAAAAAACAAGAACAGATGGCCTTTTTAACACCATCTGCACTTTAGATTTTGTTATCGTAAAAAAAAAATAATGATTTGTCCAGCTCTTGATCTAAATCTATACAACAACACCTAACTTCGTTCTACGATTCACTATTCTACTATTGTAACTATTCTATATTAAGAGAAACCTTATCTCAATACAATGATACAATGAAGAAACGACTTTGAAATAGTTGGACTTACGTTTTAAAATCTCTGGGCTTGTACTGACAACTGCGTGAGTTCTATTTATAGAAACACGAACATTGACTTAAAAGTCAATCAGGGAATTCCCGATTATTTCTTTCTAATCAAACAAAGTTTCCCAAACTGTGAAGCGCCCCCTAGTATTTAAATTGATATCTTCTTGTCATATATATTACCAGTGGCCTCACTGAATGGTGGCCGTACGGGTAACTACAAAGCAGGTCTGACGTACTTGGTCTAGAGCAATTCTTTGGTCTCTGAGGCTGAGTTACAATGAACAAGTGGGCACTTAGTTAAAGCTGTTATTCTAATTAAACATTAGAGACTAACGTCCGTTGTTGTGGAACCATGTTGGTCACAATGTGCAGAGATGCGCTTATAAGTAGTAGTGTTCGCCTATCTGAAATAATATGGTATATGATTGATGATGTATACACTATTTCTATATGTTGTTATTTTAAATGTCCTCATCATATTTGTAAAAAAAAAAATTAGAAACTCAACTATGATGGAAAATTAAAAATGTTTCTCTGTTCAATTAAAATAAAAAAACGGTCTCTTCTTGTTGGTCTAACCAATAATTTTATGGGCCAGTGGAAAAAGGGGTAGGTATTATACTGACATTTCAATAACAATATTTTTTTACAAATTTAAATAGTCTCTCCATTATTGAAATTCAACATGTTTTACCACTGTTCTTGTTAATTGCTAATAAAATAACAACAACCGTTAAGTAACATTTGCTGTTTGTTTTACGGGGTATATTGTCACTGGTATGTCAAGGCGCTCTAATACATTTCCCATATATAACAAAAGACATTTATTACGACTTATTAATTAAGTGATTGTTTTTTTTTTGTTTATTAAGTCGCGTGTTGTCATTGACAATAAATACACGCGGAAAATTTGAACTTAATCCCAGAATGCAAAGCGGAATAAATAAACTGTAAGAGAATAAAACCTTACAGAGAGATTGAGTGACTTTGTAAAAACTTGGTAAAAAAAAAAGATCTTGTTGCAATACGAGTAGACACATTATTAGATGTTACAATTGAACAAGTTTGTTAATTTCTTTATATGACGCTTGCCGCTATTTACCCTATTATAAGCACACACCAATTCTAACCTTACAAAAAATAAAACACTTAGTTACATTGATAATTTGTAAAAAACAACAAAAAAAAAAAAAACCAACTAAATTGATTTGATCCAGATTAAGTCTTGGATTTCTACATTAGGTGTATTGTTGTAACTTTGCCTTGCACCAGTGCTTGAGGTGCGCACTAGCGCACTAGTGAACGTAAACAGGAAGACACTAGGATAGAAAGAATAACAGTGCATCAGGGATTGTGAAGAGTCTGGATGTTCGGGAAACTAAGAGGCCAACTTTTGTGCTGCCTGAAGGTTGTAGAAATGACCTGGAGCGAAGCGAAGAAGGCTGTTGTCGGTCCATATTCGGGTTAAGTAGCAAAGGACTGGTATAGTTAGTAGCAAGACTCTGAGGAAGCTGAAGAATGTTATGTGTTTGTCCTAGTGAATAAACACCTGTCTTTATTTCTTGTAAAACTGCGTTGAATTGTCTGCCTTTACGCTGAGTGCCTAACCTACAGTTACAACAATTGGTGTCGATGTTGGATTTGGGCAGCTGAACGAAAGGAGAGAATGACAACGCTTAGGAAGCTAGATAAACTTAGCTGTTAACAGTTAAAAGAGGAGCTCCGAGATAGGGAGCTGAGGATTGTCTGTGACAAAGAAAAAAATTAGAGCCGGTCTTTGGCAGGCTCTTGTTGGTGAAGGAGAGGATCAGGAAATATACATGGACTCGAACACAAGCCTTATTATTATTATTAAAGCTAAATTGAAAGGGAAAGAGAAAAATATAGAGAGAATAACAGAAAAAGAAAAGCTGGAGCCCGCCACAAAGAGAATCTTTCGTGACTTCGTCACCTTCTGCCCATCGTACAAATATTCGTGTCCCTAATGTCACTCCAATGATGAGATAATTTCTGGTTATTTGTTCTTCTTGTAATGCTATCTTCAATTTCTTTTTTAAAAATTATTGTTGAAATCAAAGCAGACAAGACGATGAGAGGGGGAGATAGAGAGGGGGGACGAAGAGAGAGAAAAAGACAGAGAGAGGGAGAGAGAGTCAGAGAGAGAGAAAGAGCTAAAAGATAGAGATGTTGACATTTAATGTATGTGTATGTGTTAGTATGCAGAGTTTGTCCTTCTGGTAAGAAAGTTCATACTGTGTTGTGTGTAACCTGTGATTTAGAGAGTGTGTTATGAAAGAGTTTGATGTATCTAGCGTGAAGTGTTCTTTAGTGTTATATTAAGTGTAGGTCTATCATTATTTTAAGCTAACAAGAGAGGGAAAGAGAGGAAAGAGATAAAGAAAGATCTGAGCCCTGCCACAAAGAGAATCGTTCGTCGTCTTCAGCCCATTGTACAGATATTCGTGCCCCTAAAGACACTCGATCAGATCTTGATCCAATGCTAAGACTGCCCATACTTTTATACTAAATGACAATATAAAGATTCTTTACTTATTTTAAAGATTAGAAGTAGTAATACAATCTCCCAATAGAACTAGGCCGTCGCAATTAGAACGAATTATGAAGATAGAGTGTGTCCATTTAGTACATCAAATATAGGTGATGCCTTTCATTATCTGCTGGTGTGTGAGCATTTTAAACTACACAGACTAAGATTTGTAAGAAAAAATATTATTCCATACCCAATGTTGAAAAATTAGCCGAACAGTTAAATTCTAAATATGTAAAAAACAAATTCTTAAAAGAAAATTATTCATAAAGTTAATTTTGGCTTTTTTTTCTAAAGCTACTATAGAATATTATAGTTTTATTTTAATAAAGAACTTTATTAAATTATTAACATCATTATTCTCCTATTGTGTGTTGCTATGTTGATGGTTGTGTGTCTAATTGGGTTCTAGATAACAAGTGCACTATTGCTCCATCGTATTCGTGTGTTCTGATAGTTGCGATATGTTATTCATTAGTATTGTTGTACTTATAATTTAAATGACCGATTTCATTAGTATTACTTTTAACTTATTTTAATCTTGACCATGTGTATATTAAAGTTTTATTTTAACAGACTGCCTTTGTAGAATTTGTGCTTTGTGGCAAAGCAAATAAAATTATTACATTTTTCAATTAAATTGATATTAGTTTTTAGTAATGCAATCTTTTTTTTTTTAAATAAAATTCTGATTGTAAAAACCAAAGTAGGATATCAGCACCAAAGCATAACAGACGAGGAGAGAGAGAGAGGAAGTGGAAAAGAGAAGGAGAGAAAGAAAGAGAGAGAGAGAGGAAGTGGAAAAGAGAGGGAGAGAGAGAGAGGAAGTAGAAAAGAGAGGGAGAGAAAGAGAGAGGAAGTGAAAAAGAGATGGAGAGAAAGAGAGAACGTGAGAGAGAGACAGAGAGTTAGCTTAAACAGTACACTTATAAGCTTAAAATTGCTTAATATTGCACTAATGAACACTGAACTCATTAACGACGACAAAACCAGACTCTGAATCCATCAGACTCTTTATAACACACTTTCACATAACAAAGGTTACACACAACTCTATATGGTCTTTGATGCCAAGTGGAATAACAACAAACACATAAACACAATGTCAACGGTGAGAGACAGAGAACGACAAAATAGGAGAGAGATAATGAAATAAAGAGATAGAGAAAGATATTAGACAGAGAGATAAAGAAAAAAAGAGAGAGAAATACATATATTTATATTTTTTTTCAATGACTGTTTTGTGGAAGGGTCGGCCTTAGGCATAAGCAAAGTAGACAACCTAGGACATCCAATTGATAGGGGCATCGCTAAGGACCCCAAACAATTTTTGTTAGGGAATAAATAGCGAGAAATGTGCACAATGCAAGTATTGGAGTAGACTCGATTCGAAATAGATTGCTTACTTTTATTATTACCTGTTGACTATAATTTTTTTTTATATTTCATTGAGACCACTCATTTCACTTCGCCTAGGGCCTCCAGCGTGTCAGAAGGCCATGTCCAGTGTGTGTGTTTCATGTCCTGTGTGTGTGTGTGTGTGTGTATAGTACTGCATCAGTGTTATGCGAGGCGAGCTGGTTTCATTCACTGTTTACTGTAGTCTAATTTTGTCGAATAAAGCCATGTTATTGGTATTCTAGTCGTTATCATTTCATTAGAAATATGCAACTCCTCAATAAGGGCGAGCCTTGGTTCAAATCCTGCTCTGAAATCCACTTCTCATTTCACTTTAAACATCAACCCTCCCTCTAGTAATTGCAGTTTTCTCAGTTACCATTCAGAATAGGGCGACGAACCTACTTTCCTTAGGTAGAACTGGGTGGTCATCGACTATCCCCGGGTACTTATTAGAAAGAGTGGTGAATCTACACTCTTTGGATACCTATAATAACTATGTTGTGAATCTTCTTTCCTCTAATAGTCATCAGAACTAGATGGTGAATCTAATTTTCTTTGGTGGTCATAAATAATGTGTGGTGAATTTCTACCCACAAGTAGACGCAAGATAAGGGTGGTGAGTTTCTTTACTTTGAAATTTATAAGATCGAATTTATGAAACTTCTTTACTTTTATACTTATAAGATCTAAGTGGTGAATCTACTTTACTTTTATACTTATAAGATCTGGGTGGTGAATCTATTTAATTTTTTACTTATAAGATCTGGGTGGTGAATCTACTTTACTTTAGATTGCTGCCTGGTCGTGAAGTTTATGCGCTGGGCTGTCGTTTGGATTTTTCAATGGTCCCGAGTTTAAACCCTGCCCGCTCCCACCCCCCTTCGTCCTGCAGGAGGTTTGGAATAGGAAGTAAACTATCTTCAACTCTCATAGAACATCCAAATATGTAAAACATTTTACAAATTTATCAAATCTGGGTGTTGAATCCACTTTACTTTGGTACACATCAGATCTTGGTGTTGAATTTTCTTTACTTCGGTACTTATCAGATCAAGTTGGTGAATTAACTTTACTTTGGTGGCCATTAGACCAGAGTAGCGAATTTTATTTCCTTATATGGTCATTAGAACTAATTGTTGCCTCTTATTCCCGCTGGGAACATGTTGGTGAATCAAATGACCTCTGGTAGTCATTAGAGTAGAGGGAGCATGAAGAAAGGGTCGTCCAAAGAAATGCTGGACAGACAATGGAAACTTTAAGCATGGACCGACCTTTCTCTTGATATACTCATGGACAGCTGGAATCAGGTTACTCGACGAAAGTCAAGATACATATGAGACATTCGAGAGCTATTTAAGCTGAGCTGTGAATCTAAAGTCATTTCCTACTTGAGGCTTTTGATAAAATGTACGGAACTCTTTCTTTAACATGTACATTAGTAGTGCCAATAGTTAAAGGGCGGTAATTTAAAAAATGAAAAGAAAAAGAAAACTATCTATAAGAAAGGCTGATATATATGTATTCATTTCTAGAGTAAACTCCACATATGTATTTCTCTTTTGAAATTCAACGTTTAGTTATATGGTAACTTATGAACAGATGTTAAAACATGGTCAGCAGAAGTGACCTTTTCAAACTCCTAAGTAACATAGGTTGCCCTCCCAAACTACTGAAGTTCATTGAGTGCTTTCACGAGGAAACTAAATATACTGTCAAATTCAGCGGAGCCCAATCAGTACCTTTTGAGGTTAGCTGTGGTGTCTAGCAGGGATGTGTGCTCGCACTTACTCTGTTTGGCATACACACACACACACACATATATATATATAAACTAGACTTGTCGTATTTAGTAACTAGACTTTTCATACCTAGGAACTAGACTTTTCATACCTAGGAACTAGACTTCTCGTACATAGAAACTAGACTTGTCGTATCTAGTTACTAGACTTTTCATACCTAGGAACTAGACTTTTCATAAAGGCACTAGACTTCTCGTACCTAGAAAATAGACTTGTCGTATCTAGTAACTAGACGTTTCATACCTAGGAACTAGACTTTTCATACATAGAAACTGGACTTGTCATATCTAGAAACTAGACTTGTCGTATCTAGGAACTAGACTTCTCGTATCTAGAAACGAGACTTGTCGTATCTAGAAACTAGACTTCTCGTATCTAAAAACTAGACTTGTCGTATCTAGAAACTAGACTTCTCGTATCTAGGAACTGGATTTGTCGTATCTAGAAACTACACTTTTCGTACCTAGGAACTATAATAGCGAAGTGTCTAACAATACAAACTAAGACTTATGCCATTTGGCAAGACGTCTCAATATGTTTGGCAGGACTTTGGAGCTAACCCCCACCTTTTGTGTTCTAAGTTTGATAAAAGCTGCACATTAAAACTGTATTACTGATTTGGGATTGGAAAATAAAAATAAATAACTCCCGTACAAATCTTTTACAACAGAATTAATTTAGGTCTTTTCAATTTAAACTTCCGTAATTTATGATGGGTGATGTGGCGATGATGTAGGCCTAAAGTTAATCTGTTTCGATGCCTGACTGTTCACGAGGGTAACCTATTGTCAACACAATGACCAAACTACTTGTATTCCCCGACGTATACCAGCTACCTTTTAGATTTGGGTGGACTCAGAGTAAAGTTCCCATTTCAGACCTTGTGATCTTTGGGGCAGAGGATGTAAAGGTCATCTGTTTCTGCGGCCAACGGTTAACAATGATGTCACGATACCAGCAAATGACAAAACGCCTATACTTTTCCCCAACTAATGTCAGGACTCAGGCGTCCTAAAAATTCTTAAGTTAATAACCGCAGACTAAAAACCATTGCTTTAGAAGCCAAGCGCTTTACCACTTAACCACATCAACGTCTATAAAAATCATAATAACAGTTCGGTGCTTATCAAATGAGACTAAGACATAGACTACTTTATTGATTCTTACGGAAATGTGTTGCGATTACAAGGACTCTTTTCTCATATAAAGAAAACACAACAGTGTCAGGATGTCTTATGAGATGAACTCGAAGAAGGGAAGTAATCTAGTGCTAATTCTACATCAACTTGATAATGTAATTGTCTTCTCTTGTATTACTTGTTAAATTGTCTGCTCTTAAGAGAGAATTTTTTTTGGTTACATTGTGGCTCTTTTTAGTTATGTATTTCAGGGTAATGTTCTTATTTACTGTAATAATAGGAGAAAAAAAGATGATCTAGTTTTTTGAGGACTTCAGGTCTAAATATAACAAAAAATGTTTCTAAAAAGAAAGTAAAATATATTATTAACTAGTTACGCAGAACAAGGTAATAAATGTTTTGATAATCTACGTAAATATGTATTTATAATTCCTTGTTAGTCTGACATGACTGGGTTAAATCGTTCC